AAAAAAAAAAAAAAAAGAAGAAAGAAAAAGAAAAAGATATGGGCTTCAGCTGGGCGTGGTGGCACATGGTTGTAGTGTCAGCTACTCAGGAGCCTAAGAGAGGAGGATTGCTTGAGCTGGGGAGGTTGAGGCAGCAACGAGCTGTGTTCCCACAACTGCACTCCAGCCTGGGTGATATAGTGAGACCCTATCACAAAAAAGAAAGAAAAAAAGAATGTGGGCTACAAAGTTGAACTCAAGTAAGTCAGGGAACTTCCTCTTGTAATGAACAACTTCCTTAACCTCATTGTACTCAGTTTCCTCGCCTGAGAAATTTGATGAGAATGGTACCTGCTGGTGGAGTGGGCTTGCTGATGAAATAAGCGATTCACCCACACCTCTCAGCACAGGACCTGGACCGGGCCACATTCTGTGCATTGCCGGCTGCTATTGGAGCTGGGGTAGCGGCCGCCTTGAAAGCCGGCAGTCCATGGGGGTTGGCGAGCTTCTGGGAAGAAAGGGTGGAACGTGAAGTTCAGGTGCAGAGCTACAGAGAACCCCACCACAAAGCGGTAGGTGGCAGGGGAGTAGGACTCAACAGAGATGGAGAAAGACTGAGCCCAAAGGTGATCAAGAACAGGAGTGAAGGAGGAAGTGGTCAGCCGAGACGGGGGCAGCAAACAAGCCCAGTTAAGTTACATGGGCCTGTGTTTGGTCATCCAGGGACAAAGTGACTTTTTTAGTGCCTGTAAGCCCAGCGGGTTGGGAAGAATTTAGGCCACAGTGGGGTTAGGCGTGAGAGGAGCGGAGGAAGTGAAGATTGAATTGAGACCACTGGCTGGAGAACTTGACTGGTAAGGGAGAGCAGAGTGCAGCACCGGTGTGGGGAGGGAATGGGTCCAATGAGCGTCTTAGGATGAGGGAGTCGTGAACACTCAACACTGGATGAGCTGATACAAAGAAAGGAATGAATGAATGGATGGACAGATGCATAGAGGCGGAGGTGGATGGATAGACGGATGCATGTGCAGAGGCAGGGATGGATGGATAGACGGATGCATAGAGGCGGAGGTGGATGGATACACGGATGCATGTGCAGAGGCAGGGATGGATGGGTGGACGGATGCATGTGCAGAGGCAGGGAT